TTTCATTATATAATTTAACCTAGTATTCAACTAAAAATAGATTCCTAAAAATTTAGTGCAAGCTTTCAAGAAAATGCATATATATATGAAAGTACTAGCAATAATGATAGTAATCATGTAAGTTATTTAGCAAGCATATCGACCAGTATTAAAAAAAAGAGAGACAGAAATAAATCAGGTTTTGTATAGAAGCATTTTAAAGTAATTGGAGCTAAAGATGTATATCAAGTCATAATTAAACAAAATGGTATAAGAAAAAAAATGTAAAACAGAATATTTTCATAATAACTTAACATCAAATATGATCGCTCACTTATAATTATCACATAATATCATGGATAGCAAAAAATTAAAGATTGAAATACAAAAAAAACAACAAACTATATTATCTGAAATGATTAAAGCTAACATCTTATATAGAGATTATACCCAGATCAGGTATTACCCGAGTTACCTGTGATTAACTGGTTAACCAGGTAATGACTAGAGCTACCCAGGTAGATTCATCTGAGTAATACTTGAGTAGATGTTAATATATCTAAATAGTACTGATAGTATAGGATTAGATTTAGTTAGTATCTGTAGTATGCATTTTTATATGTTTACTTATCTTAATAAAGACCTGAATTTAAAATATGTCAAATGTTGTTTTCTTATAAATTTTTGTTAACGCCCTTTTAATAATCATAAATCGAATTAAATAAATATTCTATTCTAATCGTAACACAATTCCTTGAATTTACGCATATACTTATTTTAAATTTTGGTAACTATTGTTAGATTTTTAATACAAGCCAAATCGTTTATATCCAACAGGTAGTTACAACGAACAAAAATTTCAGCAAATGTAAGATTTATTGGCTACAATAATTCATGTAACCAATCATATGACAACTTACTTAGGTATAACGAGTAAGATTTTATATCCAGGTATATCTATTGATTACCCAAGTAACCTGTGGGTTTACTCGCCAGTTAACTGAGTAACATTTTTTTGGCCGAGTATAATCACTAATTTTACACAAAGATAATAGAAGAAAAGAAATTATTAAAGGAGTTATTGAATAGATTCTTCTTGATAATCAACCTTTATCAGCACCAAAAAAAAATAGATTTCATTGCATGATAAAAATAATTGATCTAAAATTTTGCCCTCTTTTAATAAATTAATAAAAATTGAAATAATGTTATATTATTTGAGAAATATAAATCTTCTTCGACAAGAAATTGCATCTTCATGTGAAACTACTGTAATAATAGCAGATTTATAGACTTCACGCAATAATCAGAGTTATATTGGAGTTACTTATCACTGGATAACTCCTAATTGGTCACTATATAGTGTGTTATTGTATTGCGAAAAATTATCATACCCCATACTGCTAAGTCTATTCATCAATTTCTTCTAAATAAGTATATTGAATTTAATCTTAATGATAAGATTGTATGTGCTATTACTGATAATGGTACTAACATGATTAAAGTTATACAATTATGGAATGCTGTAAGACTTCTATATACTGTGCAGCATAGCAGACAATTGAATGATTAGCTGTTAAGTGTAGATTACCATGTGATTAAATTAACAAAAATCTCTTAAAATAATTGGCCATTACTTATTTATTATTTATGTACTGTAAATCGATTTTATTAAAAATTTAAAAATTTATTAAAAATTATTAAATACAATTATATATTTAAAAACCTATTTATAGCTATTTTATAAGCTTCTTCTACTCTATTTAATATGCTTTTATCTTTTTCTAATTGTACAAGAATATTATCTTCTAAAGACAAATCTTCAGTTTCCACATTTTTTGATTTTTTACATTTAGATTCGTGATTATCTTCTACAAGATCCTTATTGTCATGCTTTGTTAATCATGTAATTAAAGAAGAAATGTTTAGTTGAATATTTTTTTCAAGAAAAGACTGACAATAAGAACATTTTTAAGAAAAAATAATATTAAAACAAGCTTTATGATATCTATGGCCGCATGCAAGAACAATAGGGTTCAAACTTAAAATATTTAAAAGTATGCCACAATAGTCACATTCATCTCTTGCTGGGATATGGTTACTACTGAATCTTAGCAGCATTTGTTTCTTGTTCACTACGATGTTCAAACCTGCAAGATAAAATCAACAATCTTTTTTAGCTGTCAGAACAATTTCGCTTTTTCTAAAATTTTTGTAAACTTTTTCAAAAATTTGTAATAAAAAAACTTTAGTCTTAATTATAAGTGGTAATAAACGATCTTTGTTAGAATTAGTATCATTTCGTTTAGTAATGAAAACTTCTTTAAACATATTCATAGCATTCCTTATGTTGGCTATTTTTATCTTTTTTAAAAGTTGCGAGCCAAATCCAATGGAGAGGAATGTCTTCAAATAATACTATGCATGTTCTCAATAGAATAATTAGAAAATTTAACTAGATCTCAATTAGTACATTTAATATTAGATGGTTATTTTCCATCCAATAAAATACATCTAAAAGAAATATTAATAGTGCTTTGTTATAGTTATGCCTTTCAAATCGCAAAAAAATAATACATGCTCTGAAAATACCCTCTAAATATAACTTCCACTTGTCTGATCGAAAAAAGATAGAGTAGATGTCAACTCCTAACAGGATAGTGTTGTCCAGTAAGTCAAAAAGAAATAGATATTCTAAATCTTTACAACACTTCCTGAATTTGTTAACTACAATTAGCTTGACGTCTTTCTATACATTTCTTGCTAAATCCATAAGGAGAAATGAACAGTACAGACTCAGATTTTGTGGAAGATCCTTTGAAGCACAAAACAAATACTTATGCTGCATATTGAAAAAACTCCAAAAGTTTGTTAATATAGAGTCAACCAAGTTAAGTTGCATGTGTAATGCACCAATTATTAGTATAAAAAATAATATGATATCTAATAATAATAAATAATATTAACAACTAATAATTCAAAATTAAATATATATAAATAGATATACGCATCTGAAATTTTTGAATTATTCAGATTCTGTAAATGAAGACTAATTGCATTTCTTATAAATATTTGCCCAGGCCAATCTGCTACTATGAGTACAACATAATTATCCAAATAAGACTCTAACATGTCAATGCTATTCAATCTTTCCAAAGCATTAACATATAAGTTTATAGTTTTGAGCTCTTGTTTATAAAAATCAAACAGTATACTATTTTTCATCTTATATTCTTCTTTTCAAGCCTTGATTCAATTGTCATACGAATGTAAAGATAATACTTCTAACCTCATATCGAATAGAATGTTATAGAAGAAAGCTTCACTTGAGGTAAATACCATACATTTTATATATTTTTCATCTAGATATTTTGAAATAATATTAAAATCTATTAGTATAGAATTGTGAACTGAGATGCCATTTGATCTATAGATTAGAATGGCATCAGTTTCAACTGAATTTAATAACAAAGTTATTATATGAGATGCCATTGATGTGAAGCAAGTGTCAGATATTCACTTGCTATGAATATTATAATAGTCGTTGACATTAAGTATTATTGCTCTCTTTATGTTCTTATTAAAGTAACCATCAACCAAATCATCATATAGTTCTGCAATATCAGCTTTCTTCTGATCTATGTGACAAGATGTAATCGTAACTCCAGCATTCGTGAATGCATCAATTGCTTTATAAGCTGTTCTCATAGAATTTAAAAATATAAACATTTTTGTCTTAAATGATATTAATTTTGAGTTACAATTGCCACATATAAGATAATACTCAAAAGCTAGACATTTGTCTAGCTTTTCTAAATACTTCTTGCTTCTTTCAAATGGATTTGTAGCATCATAAATAGAATTAAAAAAAATACTTAGCTGATGATCCTTGTCTTTCATTTTCCTTCACAATTCTTGAAAACTGTAAATTGGTAGCAAATTCTGCTTCTTTTCTCTATCATAAAGCAAATTTGTCAGCACAACTATGCTATCTACTCATGTAAACTCTTTATCTAAAATTAATATTTTTATGAAAATGAATATAAAAAAGATGTATATGATAGAGATTCTAAAAAAAAAAGAAAATTGATTACCTTTTAATTTTTCATCTTTTAGATCCTAGAGTGGTATGGCTTTATTTCGATTCTAGTATATTAAATAACATTAATATGCTAGGAATCGATTAAGTTTTCATCTTTTGTCTTTATTCTTATTTTCCATATCGGCTGCTGCTTCAATTTTATCAAAAAATGGAGTTAATAATTTGCTTTTCTTTTCTACAAAAGTGCTGAGCTGTAAAAAATCAATGATAAGCCTATTTTCTCCTAAAACATCTCTTTAAAAAATAATATTAGCTAGTAACTTAATACTTTTAGACATAGAAAGACTATTCTTCTTTTTATATTTTTTCAAACCTCTTTCCTATTCTAATGCATGATTTTTAAAAAAATCATTTCTGTTTACCACAATCCTGTTATAACAACTTTGACATATATACTCGTCTTTGTGATCTACATAATACAAAGCTAAAGTTCTGTTGGCTTCTGCTTTACTTAATACGTAATCAGTTATCTTCTTCCATCCAAACACTACTCCTCCTTTACAAACTTCAACTACACAACTTTTGGTGGAATCTTGACTTGAAATGCCTTCCATTTTCTAAGAAACTGATCTCTCAACTAGAAGACGAAATACTAAGATTATTTTGAATTAATTTTAACAGTGAATAGGCCGCTCTATAATCTTTTGGTCTTTTTCTTTTTTTGAACCGGTTTAATTGGCAGGTTCTGAGTAATCACAAGAAAGAATCGTAGTCTAAAGCTATATAAAAAATTTTTTTAAGTTATGCTAAGCCACCAATCATCATTTCTAAATTTAGATTATCTGTCATGCTGTGCTGTGCACACTTTGCAATTAATAGTTAATTTTGCTCTGCAAAAAATTCATTCACAAACCAAAAAAATAAAAAAATTAGTTTTTTTAGTTCATCAAAACAACAAGAAAAATTAGAAAAAGCCCAAATGATAGTTATAGAACAAGATTGTTTGTCTTTATCTAGTTTAAATGATACTAAGATTTATTTTAAAGAAGAAGAGTCAGGTAAAATTGATAATGATAACAGTATAGAAATTAAAGAACAATTAAGTATAAATATTATTACTAAACCTCTTTGTCCAATTAAAGATTGTCTAACAAGATGAAATTCTAAATATCAGTCTTGGAAACATATTGGTTTATGACCTTAAATGACCTATATGACCTTTATAACCTGTCATAGGTCATTTGGTTATAACAAAGATTGATATGGCTTATGACCTTTTTTAATATAGTAAGAATCATAGTAAAGATTTTTTTTATTAGTATTTAATATGATCAGATGACTAGAGCAAAAAGTCATATGATTATATAACCAAGATCATATAGGGAAAAAAATAGTATGATATAGTCATCGGCCAATACTGCTTAGAAAAGACTGTTAAAATTAAAAGATGCGATTATTTGATTAGAGACTAATTTAAACATTTCTAAGATTTGAATGACAAAAAAGATGAAAAAAAACTTAGTCGCTATTTATCTAATAAAAATGAATAGATATTAATTGAAGAATTGGTTAAGATCTTTGAGCAATTTGATCAAGCAACTGAAACATTTAGTGCTAACAAGTATCTGACACTATCAGTTGTATATCCTATTACTGAACTCTTAAAATTTCAGTTCACAATAGACCCAAATCAGCTATTAGTCGAAGATAATCTTAATGAAGAATGTGGTAAATTTATTGTCACAACTAATGCTAAAAATGGTTGATACTGAAATTCGAATCTATTTTGATATGATTTTTTAAAATTTTTTAAGATGTTTTTTTTCTTCGCTTTGTTTTTATAATTGAGTTAATATTTAGGGTTAGAATTAATAATTAACAAATATATGTAAATTTTAGCAAAGCTTATCTTTTCAAATCAAGATCTAAATTTCAGCTTCAGCCATTTTCAGCATCAGCTGTGATATTTATTATTCTTGTCTTAGTGCTATTAATTTGATTTAAGTAATTTAAAATATTAATATTAATATAACTATTATTTAGAATCAAATATAGATAGTGATAGTGATAGTGATAATGAAGAAAAATATTACTATAAAAATACCTTTGATATTCAATCAACAATTGCTCAAATTAAGCAAGCAATTTATAATTCGCTTTGAAACTATTAGGAAGATCAAAAATACACTGGCCTTCTAGCAACCTTACTTAATCTACGACTCAAAAAGATGCATCCTTGGCCTAATCATATAAAAAAAGAAGCAATTAAAGTATACTATAAAGAATTTAATAATATTGCTAGTAAACAACCTATACAAATTACATCTTCCAATATTACTTTAACCACCTATTACTTTGCATCAATCTTTGATAACGACAGTGATAATGATAATAATACATCTATTAGTAAACTAAATAAATATTTATATATTAATAAAGTGCTTATTGCATTACAAGCAACTCAGCTTTTATTATAGTGGAAAGATCGAGAAAAAGAATTTCTAAATTTAAGCAAAATGGTGAAAAAATATTTATCAATTCTGGCTACTTCAGTGCCAAGTGAATGCCTATTCTCAGATGCAAATAACCAAATAATCTCCAAATAGACAAGTTTTGACCCAAAGACTGTTTTACAAATTTTATTTCTTAAATGAAATAATATTATTATTAGTATTTAATAAAACTTTTCACTTTTGAATTTAGAATTTTTTTTTTTTTTTTTTTTTTTTTTTTTTAAGGTGAGGTCAT